TCAAACTTGGTTAAAGCTTCATCTTTGGAATGCAAAAGATACACGTAACAAAACCTAGAATAATCATCTATAAAAGTGACCATGTATCTTTTGTTCCCCAAATAAGGCGTACTATGAAAATCACACAAGTCACTATGAATTAGTTCTAAAATGTTAGAACTTCTCTCAACTCTCTTAAATGGAGTTCTAGTGATCTTGTTCAACATGCAAGTAGAACACTTATTAGGAGAAATATCACAACATGGAATCAATTCTTGTTTGGACATAAAAAGCATTTTATTATAATTAACATGTCCTAATCTTGAATGCCACAAGTCAAATAAACTTAAATCAACATGAATATCACTTGCATCAACATTCAAACAAACATCATCAAATCCATACATGTCTTTCAAAGAAAGCTTAAATAATCCATTACATAAATAACAACGACCTATGAAATTTGTTCCTCTAGTAATAATACACCTATTAACTTCAAACACTAGTTTATAGCCAAGACTATTCAGGGAAGGCCCCGATACAAGATTCCTACTAATATCCGGAGAATACAAAACATCCCTAAGAATGATTGCATTCCCCGAACTAAACATTAGTTCTACTTGTCCTCTACCAAGGACCTTGATGGTTGAATTGTTCCCCATAAAGAGATCTTCTCCATCACCAACCTTGTGAAAGGTTTTGAACCAATGCCTCATCTTGCATACATGCCTTGAAGCCCCCGAATCAATCCACCATGAGTCATCATCCTGCACCATAAAAATGTTAGGATCCGTTGCATTTAAATCCAAACCGGAATTAAATTCAACCTCATGAATTGGAAAACCTTTGGTGGGTTGTTCCTTGCTAGTGCTAGCATGGCCCTCCTTGGCTTTCTCCATCCTTTTCTTGTAAGAAAAGCAGTCCTTCTTACGGTGACCAACTTTACCGCATTCCCAACAAGCAAACTTGTTATTGTTTGCTTGCTTCTTGGACTTTCCCTTGAAAGAGGTATTATTCTTCCTCTTTCCACTAGTGGAAGCACCAGTTTTTCCTTCCTCCACCAAATTAATGGTAGATGAGCTAGGATTCCCATCCTTAGCATTTTCCATGGCTCTTATCCCTTCTTCAACTTGAAGATGGGTGGCCAACTCGGACAAAGACATGTCCTCTTTCTTGTGTTTAAGCTCATGCTTAACACTTTTCCAACTTGTCAATTATACTTGAAACAACAAACAATTCATCCATATAAATACCATGTTGTTTCAAGTTCCCATAGATTCGTTGTAATTCATGAAATTGGTCCATTATGGACCGACCATCAACAAACTTAAAATTATTAAAATTACTTACTAAAAACTTCTTACTTGAAGCATCTTCAGCCATATATTTCCCCTCCAAAGACTCTTAAAGCTCCTTTGCCGACTCCACATTTTGATAAACATCAAAAAGATCATCCTCCATACCATTCAAAATATGACCACGACAAATAAAGTCATCGTTGTCCCATTTTGACCTTTCCCGAACATTCTCCAAGGATTCATTCTCATGTTCACTAGGTCTTAGAGTACTAATGACATAGGCCACATTCAAAGATGTAAGAAGAAAGTACATCTTCTTCTTCCATCTCCGAAACTCCACACCGTCAAACTTCTTGAGTTTGACAAAGTTTGTGGTCAATTCTTTCACACTAGACATGCTTGCTAAGTTTGCTTAAACTTTTTAGATTGTTAGGTTTTCAAGTAATTCAATAACAAGAACTACTTTAATAATTGTGGGAACAAAACCTAACTGTGTATGATCAAAATCAAATTATACAATAATCCAGATACAAATCAATGTATTTCAACCAAACACCAAATTACCAAAGTATTACAGAAAATACAATGAAAAACACTAGTTGTGAAAGATAATATACTTGCCTCTACTTCAAGCTTTAACAACCAACATGAACATGAGAAAAACCGGTGACCACTTGAGTCTCAATCCTTGATACACTGACTTAGGCGTATGAATACATTCCTAAAGAGTTTAATTTCCCCCACAATGGTGCTTGGGTTTGATCCGGAAATACTCTTTGAGATACAAAAGTCAGCCCAATTGTTCTTTGCACTAAGAAACAAATTGATGATGAATAATTCACAAAGAAGGAAAAAATCAAGAAGATTTCTCACAAAAGTTTGCAAGATTTTTGAGAGAAATTATGGAGAATATCTTAGGGAGAATATTAGAGAATAAAGTTCTGTATATCTTCTATCCCGAAATCAAGTCTTTAATAAAGACTTCACCGTCAAAAAATTCGCGAAAAACAGATGGCGCGGGCGCTCCACCGGGAGGAGCGGGCGCTCCTCTTCTGGAATCCCAACTTTCTGATTTTCCAGAAAGTTGACGCGATTTTGTCGCGATTTAGGCGCGGGCCACGCCTAATAGTGGCGCGGGCGCGCCACCTGGAGGAGCGGGCGCTCCTCCAAAGACTTGCCAGATTTCCAGAAACTCATCGCGGTTTTGGCGCGGTTTCATCGCGGGTCGCGCCTGGTTAGCGCGAGCGCGATCAAACAGTAAAGCACGCTCCACTCCGACACTCTAAATATTCCAACACAATTTCAATTTAAAAGGTGTTCAATCAATCAACATTGCAGTTATGTTTTCTAGACAAACTAAATCAAATAATTGATAGTTCAATCCTAACATTAAAGGGTTCTGCAACACATAAGCAACCAAATTTGATTCAATTATTAAAATCACATAATTTTAGGGAGAAAAGGCATAGATGATTCACTTATAAAATTAGGCTCATAAGTTAGTAATTAGAACCAATTGTTGAAAACATCGAACCTTAAATTTAGTATATAGACAATTAGATTAAATTAGATCAACGATTAACCCTAGATTGTGAAATTGATAATCGATGATTACAAAATGAAATAATAACAACTTATCTTAGAAGCTGCTTCAATGGAGGTTATAAATATCAATGGAGAACATGGAGTGCGCTTCAATGGAGAACGTCGAGTGCACTTGGAAACTGAGAGATAGAGGAGGACAGGAAGGTGTTCATTGGTTACTTTCAATACTTTGAGGCAGCCTATACTGAGCAAATACAAGTTGGTCTAATAGATCAACAAAAATTGTCAATCCATTAATCGCAATCACTATGCTTATCGTTAAGAGCTCCATTTGCTTCGGTTTTGCAAACCGTTTGCGACGTCGGTTTGGTGTGAACTAACGACGTTTCCTTACCTGTCGAATAGATGAATTCGTTAGTCGTTGGTGGTTATGTAAAATGATAAAGCCCAGCATTTCGTATTACCCCAAATCCGACTGCAGTCCGTAGATTTCGGTGTTAACCTCAAACCTTTATCGAGTTTATGGAGCTTTCGTCTAAACACTGAGTATATCAATAGATCCTTTACTAAATTGATTTTCGGCAGAAGGATTTGTAGGAGGATCTTGTATTTAGAGCTGTCAATTTGGGTAAACGGGTTGGGTTTGGGTCGGGTTAGTGTGGGTCAGGTCAATTCGGATCGGGTCAATTTGGGTTAATGTCGTAACCTATGCAGGTCGGGTTTGGGTTGGGTCATGCTTGAGACTGCAGTCCGTAGATTTCGGTGTTAACCTCAAACCTTTATGGAATTTATGGAGCTTTCGTCTAAACACTAAGTATATCAATAGATCCTTTACTAAATTGATTTTCGGCGGAAGGGTTTGTAGGAGGATCTTGTATTTAGAGCTGTCAATTTGGGTAAATGGGTTAGGTTTGGGTCGGGTTAGTGTGGCTCATGTCAATTCGAATCTGGTCAATTTGGGTTAATGTCGTAACCTATGCGGGTTGGGTTTGGGTTGGGTCATGCTTGTGACGGGTCATACATCTTATCGGGTTTAGGTCGGCTCAATAACAACTCGGGTTACATTTGGGTCGAGTGAATAATAAGTCGGGTTTAATACGGGTTTTAACGGGTTAAAACGATTAAGGCATTCTCGGGTTCGAGTCGGGTTCGGTTCAAGTCAATAATTTGCGCGTTATAATCAGGTCGGGTCATTTCCAAGTCGGGTCATGTTCGGATTCTGGTCTCAAATATTGGGTTAAATTTGGGTCTCGAGTTGATTTCAGGTCGGGTCATATCGAGTTCAGGTACATTTTTCGTATTGGTTTGTTAACAGTTCATGTATTGCCAATTTAATACTCCATTCTTTATTACTTTGTATAAGCTTTATGATTCATATTACAATCCTTCTCGATCAACTAGCTTCATTAAGGAAAACATTTTAAAGCATTAATGTGCTAAACTAGATTACTAGCTATATTAGATAAGAGTATAAGAGTTAAGATATGTGTGTGGTGTGGAAAAGTTGATTTAAGGAATCAATGTTAAAGGTAGATTTGTCAATTTGAGTGTTTAGGTCGAGTTAGCTCGGTTCGGGTCAATTTGAGTTAATTGCATTACTATTCGGGTCGGGTTACATCAAGTTTGGGTCAGGTTAAAAACAGATTGGGTTGAATTCGATTCGGATTAGTAACAGGTCGAGTTGAATCCAGGTCGGGTTGAATCCAAGTCGGGTTAGTAACAGGTCGGGTTGATTTCGGGTTTCAACGGGTGAAAATGGGTTTGGGTCAATCTCGGGTTCAGGTCGTGTTTAGTTCAGGTCAATAATTGACGGGTTATTTTCGGGTCGGGTCATCTCACGTAGGTCATGTTCGGTTCGAGTCACGAATCCTAAGGTTAACTCGAGTCTCGGGTTGGTTTCTGGTCGGGTCATATCGGGTTCGAGTCACCAATTTCTCGGGTTCAAACAGGTAGGTCATGATCGAGTTCGGGTAAAATTTTTGGGTAAGGTCAGCTTTTGACAGCTCTACTTGTATTAAGGTAGCGGGATCCCTTTGTCGTTGTTTGGGTCGAAGTTAATGGTAAGTATTCTAAGTAAAACACTCTTATAGTTTACGCGTCAATTAATATGAAACGGAGGAAGCATATATCTAAACTCTAAAGTCTTGTCTTTCCAGCAATCTATTTTTTCCTATTCTAGATATGCACTACACTTTTAATGGATAAAATGCACCAAAACTTACAAGAATTGGGTCGAATATATTTATAGTTACAAGTTGAAAAATACATTCAATGATCAACCAATCAATTAATCAATCAAATCCTTAATCCCATAAGTGGGGTAACTAACAAACCTTCAATTGCCAAAAACAACTCAATTTCTATCCTAGGAGACGAATGCCGCCAAAGTGCGTTAAATTTGAAAAGTTACATCACGACTAAGCACAAGACTCTCCCCGTCCCAAACACATGGACCCTAAATTTCACCAGGCTTTTAAGAACCAGTAATATGGAAAACTGTTTCAAGGCCCATGGCTACTATCATCCTACAAACTCCGTAACACGAACCAAAAAAGCTGTACATGTCTAGGGTTGTAACACTGAGATAGAATAGTTCCTTGACCTTCACCAAAGTAAGTACTGTAAAATAAAGAAAAAGGAACAGCCCAAGCCAAGCCCTTAATAATTTATGGCATCTCTGACTCGAAGCGAGTCACATGTGAAGAGAATGAGCATACCACCAACTGGCAACCAGTGGTAAAGACTTATAGATCTTTCGTCTTCGTGTAGGATTTCAACTTGCTACCACATTTGGTAACCCTTGATATTAGATGATCAATTTCTTCTTCTTTCTTATCATAGATGTAGAACGCTACAAAGATCATTAGCATTCCTACAATGCCAAAGCATAACTGCAGGTTAGCTTTAAAAGAGCAACATATAGTAACACTATAAAGTGGGAATATGATAGGTAGCTTACCAACCAAATATAGCCGCTGAAAAGATATAAATCCTAACAGACTGACAATCAGAAGCATCGTGACAACCTGTTTCATTTATAACAACAATTAAAATGGCTAACATTCATACAATCTAAGCTTCAAATTGAATAAAACAGCAAAAGAACTCGTAGAAGCTTTGACAATGTCTGAAAACAAGGTTTTAACAATGGCTACAATTAATTGCAATAAAACAATCCGCATTAGCTGTGATCGCTACTAGATTGATTGAGATCAAGGGCATAGAACATTATACTTTCAGTAGCTACAGTAAAGTTTAGCCATAATTTTCTCCAACTATAAACAATAATTAATTAAAGAAATGTATCAATCTAAAATATCAAAAGGAGCCTGTAGAATTATCTTTAGATTAGTATATTAATCTAATATCATTTTAATAGACACTGCTGAAAACCTGCCCCGGTTCATGGCCCATTATTATGATACAGTGAAAGTACTAGCAAATATGTTGAAGCTTACTAGAACAGGGAGAATCGGAGAAATGAGACGTTCAAGACTCCCCTGATCCTCTCCTTCATTGTAGGATCAAGGAGTACAATAGAAACAACAAATGGAAAATACTTGAACAGGATGCCAAGTCTTTCACAAAAAACACAGGGAGCTATCACAATATCTAGTTTCCAGCTATGAAGCATGGGTAGATTGGTTGATCAATTAGGACAGGAAATTGACTCTGTGTTCCATATTCATATACTCCATCAGAAATGACTCCATTGGCATGCTTACTAGTAGGATAGACCAAACATAATAGTTGAGGATATAACCTATTCTAAGAATTTGGCATTGTCACTATAAGTGCACCCACATCTCTTGGTATACTTTCTAACTTCAAGAATCTTGATGCATCAGTTCCTAGCATCTTTTGTCAGCCAGCTCCAATTCACGTAAAACGGTACAGCGAGTACCATATTATCTCAAATCAAGGTAAGTGATAATCCAAGGATAAAATGAAAGCTGGATTTTAGGAACTTAAAAGATCCTCTTATACACCTTCTGTCCTCAAAAATGACTTCTCAGTTTGTTTTGCACAAATATTGAGCATGTCTCTAGCTCATACATCAAGAAGTACAAAACATGTCTGGTAAAAAGCAGCAATTAGGACATCCAAAAATATTAAATAAAGCAGTAATCTTCGATGAAGGGAGTATTGAGAATATGGCAGTATTTTGACGACTTTTAGTAATGGGGATTTTATCATTTCTAACCCCTATCCTCTATCTTGGATCCCCATTATACCTGTCTTTGTCGTTTTCTAATTTACCCATTTCTCTCTAATTCTCTCATTTCTAGTACATTAATAATTCATTACCATGTCAGACCTCCATTTGTAAGCTACTGCTATTCACGCAATTTCCAATTATAATCTGCACCAACTCCTACCAATGACCACTTAGCTTTTTGATCTCAAGGAAAAAGGATATTGGATACACCGAGAAAAGAATAAAGAATAAAGAGGGTGCTCCTAGATTTTTCTTAAAACATATTCTCGTTCTCTATTTGCAAGCTTCCACAATCTTTCTGATTCAAATTGATAACTTCCTTCAATTGTTTTCTCGCACCAGTGTACCAACTTTCCCCCCCTAATTCCATATAAGGAATTCAAGATGAGTGTGGACTTGTTACTTATCAGGGTTAGGTTGTGCTGTCAACCCTTTTGAGCTCAGTGAAATAAAAATGTCTGAGCTTGTTTGGTTGACAAAATAAAATGGGGGAAGTGAAAAATCATGGGAATCGACAAATTGGATACTTGTTTGATTAACACAAAAAAGCAAAAATGGAAGAAGTTGGAATTCATGGGAATTTCAACTTCCCAAAAAACATAGGAAGTAAATTACCAAGGTTCCCCTTGGTCAATCAAAATTCATGGGAATTTCAACTTTCCAATATCATAACCAAACAACTTTGTGAAATTCCTAGGAATTTCATGAGGGTAATAACTTCCCATGAAATACAACTTCCTATAATCCCATGGGAATTTATTTCCCGTGTCAACCAAACACTGATGCAGTTTGGTTCCAAAGAGGCTTACTTAAGGATTCCATGTAAAATTTTTGTACCTACTCACACATGAAACACTGCATAGCAAAAGGAAGAACAAAGTATTCCAATTATTTGGTGTATCAGAGAAGCAACTCTGCACACATTCACTTTTCTAGAGATAACGTCGTTCAACTTCCCCATGAGATGCCTCAATCAGTGAACATAGATAGCCTAGGCTTACAAGAAATATAGATCTCAAAATTGAATTGCTAAATCAAGAGATGAGACCAAGGTGGGGGAATAATGTCCATCACCCAGGCTGTCTTTTGATCTGGCTACATTTTTCTTTTTCTTCCCTTGTCAATTTCATATTAACCTTTTTAAATGGTATATTTGCATTAGCGAAATATGTACCCCAGCGCTCTTGGTACAATGCACATTTTGCAAACATTAAAATGTAATGCAACCTCATCACTAAAAAGTCAAATTACATGGTAAATCCTACATAACAATTAGCAATATGCCAAATGCTTGATTAGCAAGAATAACCTCACATGGATAAAGGAAAAGATGATCTACAAAGGATTATACCCAGATAAGCATACACATTTAAAGGGAGATGCTCTACATTTTCCTACAGTTTTTCAAGAATTATACCCAAGATGTTCTCTTCTTTATCATCTTTACTATCCATTTTCATTTTTCTACCCAGCAACTGTAACTCTCTCTTGAGTTACCTTTGTAAGTGAATATTGGGCTCGTTATATCTTAACTGATACTGATTTTCCATGGCTATCAGACGTGACTGATATAATGCCAGCGTCAATTGAGTCACATTGTCTATCTCCAAGACTAGATTAAATTTATAAATAGATTTACCGAATCCACATACCCTTCCCCAATTCTTATGTAATTAAGGCTCTGAAACAGTTATTTGTTGCAATTTCACACACGTGCCTGACCCAAAAAGAGGAAAACATAGTCCTAACAGAAGTTCCAAACTTGGATAAGTGCCACAAGTGATCCCTATCCAGCTATTCCCTAATCAAAATTATAGCAAATATAGCATATACTAAAACAAACATTACCGAAAAGACAACAAATGATGCCTCCACTTCCAGCAAAAAGTGAAAATATGGGCTACAAGCATCATACCATAGAGAATAAGTATTACCTTAAGAAACAACATCCAATCATTGCCCCTGCAAAGCGATTTTAAAACACCAACTGCAGTATTCCACCGAGAAACAAGTGAAAGAGCAGCTTTACGTGATTTCTCCTCAGAGCAGTGGAAAGCAGATACAGGAACTTTCTCAACAGTACATCCAAATCTGCACAAGAGAATTTTCCCTTTAGAATTCCAACTAAATGATCTTTCACCTATGTAGGTTTTATCTAGAGAAAAAATAAAATCAACCAATTGAAAAAGTGGAGATACAAAGAAAGGGATCAGATTCCACCAATAAACAAGACACAAGAATTAAATAACTCCAATCTCGCAAAACATCAGAAGGGGACATGTTTGGGAAAGCCCAATGAGAATGAAACCACATTAAGCTAAACACACCACTCGCTTAGATAGAGTATTCAATGAAGATTCCCAGCCATGGAATTTTTTGCTTTTCTATCCGACCAGATCACCCACAACTCGACCCCTCGTCTACTCTTGTATCCTTACAATAAAATTATCCTATCATCGTCAAACAAATATTTGTGAATTAACATCCTAGGGGAAGGGTGAGGGATGGGCATGGCTTTGTTGTTCTTGACTTAGTCCAATAGACAAACTTGAAGGAAAGTAACAGAATATAAAATTGATTAAAATAAAGTTGAACACAATGCATCTTAAAGCTGCATAGCCTAAATACTTGGGACAACCAAACATTGTCTCAGTAGTCTGCAGATCTTGCCATGGATTCAAATGTATCTAAACAACATGATGAAAGAGCTTTGCTGGGAGCTGCACTGTAAGATGGAGCAGCACATCGCAGATGATTTCGCCTTTCCATAAATGGTCAAAAGAGTGAGTCAAGAATTTTTATTACTTCTAAAAACAGTGGATTGGTCATGTTTTGCTTCCCAACTGCTATGTACAAGGGATTCCTTTACCCATAAATTAGTGTGCAAGTTATTCACACTATATCCAAAGTCCGATACCATATTAGCAATACAATTAACTTGAACCTTTTTTTTTTTTTTTTTAAATTCTGGTTTAGGATCGATTATAATAACATGGACTTTGGGTTAGGATATACTCAATAATTTGTTCCGAATAAACGGCATAAGCCACAAAATAAGAAACAAACAAAATAAAAATCTTAGCACAATATGAAGTATGCCAGAGATTCAAGCATACGCATGTTTACAAGTCCATAACTCGTGTAATATTTAGTAAGGACTTAAGTAACTAAGTTATTTACACTGATATATGGTTTCAGCTGTACAAAGAAATTAGCCAAATATTTCAAAAAAAAAATTTATGGAAAAGAAACAACTAAAAGAGCATCACCAGAACTGAAAATAATATTAGATAAAAAATGGTTTTGAGCTTGTTCCATAATTGGTACCAATCCAAACGACTTCAGTATGGATTTGAGCCTAAGAAAACTCCAATCTAAATTGTCCAATTTTACACCCCATCCTTGGATGTGGAGTTCTCCACAATTCGAAACAGCAGGCTTCCTTTAACATTTTCCCCTAACTTTAAACGGGTTAAGGGAAGAAGGGAAACTAGAAGGAAGGATGGAGTAAAGATAGAGGGAACAAACCAATCATACATTCTTTCAGGCAAATTGGCATGAATGTAGAGGAACACTGATGCCAACAATATGAGCTTGAAAACTGTTGTAACAATGGTATATCCAGATGCGACGAAGTTGTAGTAAAACGCAAGGAAAATAAGCAGGGTGGCTAGGCTTTGCCTTTTGTCCTTCCATAAGAGTACATCAGCAACTGCAGGGGGTACCAATATATTTTTATCAAAAACATTTACAGTTAAAAATAATATATTGCTAATAAGACAATGGAACGTCAAATAAAAGTTTCAGAAAAGTATGGATATCAGACTAATTTCATAAAAAGATAATAGATTATAATATTACAAATACAGAGATACACCCAAGATCCTTTTGAAATATTGAATAGAAATGCTTCTCCAATTATTTCCCATAGTGATTCCATATTACTTATAAGAACATCAGAATTCACATGCTAAACTGATGGTGCAATGAAACAACGGATAAGAATATTTGAAGATAAATATTTCACCAATTCTAACAATCAACGATGATTAAGTAAGCACAGATAGACTAAATTTACAAAGAAGTTCCATTAGACATCATTAATACTGATAGTGCAGACTCTTAACACTGCCAAAATATAAAGCAAACTTAAACAAGGCAATATGTTTATTCGTGTTTGATTGGCATTAAAGCTTTATGGCATTGGAAAAGAAAAAGGGGAAAAAAAAACAATACACACCCCTTGGGTACATCAAATGACAGAGGTATTAAATAATGGACCTTATGTCACATAGGCCAATTTCACCTTCAATTTAAAAACCAAATAAACACATTGAATCTCCCCCAACCCCACCCTCCCACCCCCCCCCCCTCAACCGGAGAAAAACCCTCCATCTTCGTCTTCATCTTCATCCTCCTCAATGTCCTCTTTAAGTCTCTTTAGCTTTCTCCATCACGAAATTCTCATGCAAAAGCCCCTTCTCTTCTTGTGTACCTTTTGAAACAATAAATTGATTACGGAGATGAGTGTAGAATCGAAAGAACACATACCAAGGTGCAATGGGGTTCAAATTCTTATCAGTGTCCCTTTATTCAGCAACTCTTCAAAAACAAAGTTTGCTTTTTCATCTTCAATGTTTTATCTCTACTTCATTGTTTTCATTAGTACTGGTAATGTAGAAAACTTCAGAACTCAAACCTCACACTCCTCTTTTTATTTCTATAAACTATTAGGTCACCTCACTCTTAACATTTCCTTAGTTTTAAACAGAAGGGAGCACAGATTTGAGTGGGGGTGAACAGCATACACCAAATGTAATCAAATATAGATGGCCATCAAGCATCTAATTTATGCATTTTCATACATGTATTTATAAAGAGAACAATGAAAAAGGTCATTTATGACACGTGCCTCCATACTTGCTAGTTGCTACCATGGTAAAAGGGGAGGGATATATATTATATTTGCAATATTTAATAATTAAAGATTAGAGGTAACATAAAAAAGTATCATATATTGAATAAGCACAAGCAAAGTTTTGTAATTTCTCACAGGAGATTAGGGGGCTGTTTGATCGAGGGGAATCACGAAAGGGAAAGGGAATTCATATTTTTAAATCCCTTTGTGATTGGTTGGATATTTTTTAATTTTCTTTCCAGCTCTCCCTTTTGGGATTCCCCATAAACCTCTACATCAAGTCCTGCTTCTTACTTGGGATTTGAAGATTACCTCATTTCCACCTTCCCATCTCTACACCACATACCCAACCGCCTGCCAGGCTGCCATGAAAAACCCACCATTAACTCTGCCTACCATCCGCCCACCAGAAATTCAATCTGACACTGCCATCAAATTAGATTTTCAACTGCATCATCACAATCTTGACCACCACCATCCTTCTATAAAACCTTAACCCCAACAATACCCAAACCATTACTTACCAACAACCCCAACCATCAAGTCCAAAACCCATTACCATCTCAACCACCAACCCAAAATTTTGAGGGCAAAATATATAGGATGTAAGAGAGAGTCCAAAACCCATTGCCATCCACCATCCCCAAAATTTTGAGAGCAAAAATTATAGGATATGAGAGAGATAAAGAACCAACCAAGAAGTACCAAGAGCCAAGTTTTTACCAGACTAGCTTATCAAATTTTTGGGAACAAAACAGCCCTATTTCACTCAAAAAGTTCATTTCAGTACCAAAATCTCATTTGCAATTCATATTCAAGACTGTTCATTTTTTACCAGACTAGCTTATCAATTATCATCCTAACTCAAGGTTCAGTCCATTAATTTACCTACAGGTCTGTAAGTGGCTGATGATTTATCTAGCCTAAGTGGCAAGGGTATTTTTGTGCCACCAGTCAAGCTATTTGACTTATTTTTTATACTAGCTCCTAATAATCATCTGCTACTTATTTAATAACCATAAAAAATTACACTTTCACTTTACTCATGTTATAGTATGTTTATTGTCATTATAATTCTAGAATTGGGTTCATATTCCATCTCCTTGACATTTTCAAGTGCAAACTTTCAAATAATGGGCTGTTATAAAATTAATACTTAAAGTTGATAGCAGATGCAAATAAACACAGAAAGTAGCATATAAGAATAATAGAGGAATTAACAACTACCTCTTCCACCTCCAAGATATCTATGCACTTTAGATGGTCCATCTCTTTTAGGCTGATGTTCTGCTCTTAAGTGCGAGTAGGACTCAATTGTTCTCTCAAGACCCTCCTGTGATCAAAACACAGCAAAGATTACACCAATGTGTTATAAAAAATTTAAAAGCCTTAACTACCAATCTAAAACCATTCCCAAGACTGAATCTTTACACACAAAAGAAAATAATTATGATTTATTATTTTGTGAAATCAGTAGCTTATCACGAAGTATTATGTAGAAAATAATTTCCAAGGTTAAAAACATTCCCATAGAAACTTATGCATCTATTGGAAACAGATCACATAAGAGCTAGAGATTACATATAACTAAATAAAATGAAACCTGCAGTGATACAATTGGTGTGTAGCCAAGTCGATCTTTGGCTTTCGAGCTATTAAATGTTCTGTTGCAAGAAAGGAGCCTGATTCTTGAAGGTGTCAGCTGTGGAACTTTCATACCATAAGGGGCCAATAATTTGTAAATAAGCTCCACCAAATGTGCAATAGGCATCATAATAAATGCAGGAATCTTAATTCTTGGCCTGAGAAAACATAAAATTAAACGAGTAAGACGGTTAAACTCAATTCCACTAGGAAATTCAAGCTGTACAAATCCAATGTCATAATCACAACAAAATTTTCATGAAGTTCGAAATGTAAAGAATATAAAAGACCAAACTTTTATACCATGCTTCAAATAAGTGGTGCGCAAAATGGAAAAAGTCAACTCCCTTAATGCAACAATCATAACTTCTCGCAATAACCAAAAGGAAAACAACTCCACTAAATCAAACACAACTAATAAAATAAACAAACAAAGCAAATGGATCTTACAAACTTTTGATCCATAGTGTTACACTGTTACCAAATACCAAGGCATTAACCAGAGAACTAGTACATTTGCGAGGTATTTCATTTAATTCCAAAAGAGCAAAATAAACATAATGAACCATACATATGAGGGGTATAGCTAAAATTACATAACAACTATAAAAATAAACAAACAAAGCATATGGATTTTACCAACTTTTGATCCATAGTGTTACACTGTTACGGTATTACCAAATACCAAGGCATTAACCAGAGAACTAGTGTGTTAGCGAGGTTTTTCACTTAATCCCAAAAGAGCAAAATAAACATAATGAACCAGACATATGAGGGGTATAGCTAGAATTACATTATAAATCAGTTAAGAGGCTAGAGGAAAAAGGCAGAACTTCGTCAGAGGAAAAGAGATAATATTGCCATATATAAAAAAATAGGGAAAAGCATGAATTTGGAAAATGCCTACTTCAAAATAAATTATATAAAAAAAAATAATAATAATAAAAAAAAAAAACCCCATTTAAGTCTTTTTTGTTACAAAATTCACTCCCTCCATCACAATAAATTTTCTCTATATCCCCCATTTAACTTTTTAAAGAGTTGGTTTATGTGTAAGCATGTGACATTGTATTAATCAAAGCACATGGACACACCACAAAGGGAATGGGAAAAGGTCAATAGGATGTCCAAAATAGGTAATTGGGAAATCTTGGTGGGATAGAGGGAGTGTAACCAATTCTCTAAGTTTTCTTGTCACAAGAATCAGCAATCAGGAACAAACATTTCATTATACTCATTACCCAAACAAAATAAAAAACTTTACTCCCAGCCAATTCTATGTAATATACTGCATACACAATGTTGCTAAAGATGGGGGTAAACTTTCCCAAAATGACAAGCCTCCTACATTGGACTGACTACGAAATCATTAGATTAGGTGGAATACTTGCTGGAACAAACTATCAGTGCTTAGACTCCAGAACCTATAGCAGAAGGTGTAAGGGAAGGGGGGGAAATTACAGAGTAATAAAAGAAAAAGAAAACAAAACTAAGGGATGAGAGATACCTTTCATAACCTAGACCCTCAAGTATGAGTGACATGAATTCCCAAAATTTGATTGGCTCCATATTTGTAATGAAATATGCCTGAAAATCAATAATAACACTAAACCTTTTTGAATTATAAATGGCTAAAATGGTTTCAAAAAAAAATTTAGAAAAATATAAGGATCACTAAAAGGGGTTCAATTATTATGGCCAGAATAACTAAAAAAATCTACTCCTAGGTAAATGGAATAGCCATATACTCCTTACGGTACAAACCATATGTACACTTGATTGCAAACCCATGACAGGAAACATAGGACCTTACACCAACGTCTATAATAAAAGTTTAAAAGGAATTGGATTTTGTGATAGACATTATATTAAATTTTGTCAAAACTGCTTGAAGTCCACAGTTGAAATTTAAAAAATATATACATACACCTAACAATTGTAAAAACTTCCTCTGTCCCATAATTTACATTTACATTGCATAAAAATTATGGAGAGTGAAAAAGTAGATCAGAAAATAAATATAAAATAAAAAGTGGGTGGGAGGGTGTGAAGCCCAATTTCGAAGAAAAAAGTAGGGAGGAAACTTACTTAACAAAGGTTAAGTATTTGTAAGGCATCCCAAATTGGAAGATGTAAACTAATTATGGAACAATGGGAATAAAAATATATTTTTTTTTTTCTTTCGGCATTCTCTAGTCTAGTATTGAGTAGCATATGTTTAAAACTGTAGAAGCGAAGAATAATGCTCAAAAAATGAATGGAAAAATACCTGCCCTGAAGCTTTTTCTGCAACTGTTCCCTTAGATGCTAGAGCTCTTTCAGCACATATATGGGCATGAGCAACGTTTTCAACGTAGGTGAAATCATACATATTATTTCCATCTCCTATGATAAACTGTTTATGATTACATACACAAAAATGTCAGTTGCTTCATAGAAGAAAAACACAAGGGGGGATCACAGCAAAAAGAGAGGGGGGAAGGGGGATAAAAGGGTGGAACCAAAAAAAATCAAAGGGATTATATTGATTAGTCCAATTACTTCCTCTTTTCTAATTTAATTGCTACATTTACTACTTTGGAAACTTCACATAATCATATCAATTGCTACACATCCATTTTTGGTTATTTGGTTTCTCTACCTCTCTCCCTCATCATGTCTCTCTCTTTTTATATCTCTCTCCTATTCACATGGATTCCTTAATATAAGTGCCTCCCCTACATGTAGTAATTAGCATCAAATGGAGGAAGTACTTATTTCCATTTCAACTCATAAGTTTCATTATAGTTTATACTCCTTTATTCACAAAAACCTGGTTATGCGTAAGGGAAAAGAAATTCCACATAGCATACTTTTCATCAATGAGTTCTAGAGGTATAATTCTAATACAAACTTTAGATACATGCATCATTTTGGGCCAAGTGTACAGATAAGAATTGATCCTCACATTTACTCCAACAGTCTTGAGCTGAACTATTTTAGTAAATTTTAAAGCCAATGATAAATGTGAATTTTAAGTAAGGCCAAGGTCAACTTGCAGTTTTGCTGAATGCATTTTTGTAGCATGTGTTTCAAATCAGATCATAACATCTATAATTAACTCTCTATTACATCATAAATTATTAATGTATATTATTAAAGCTGATATGCGTGATTGACACTATTAAAATTCTTGAAAAAAAAAAATTAAACTCATATTAGTCAACATACATCTAAATTCTCTACTCTTTACAATATACAGAGTACTAAGTAGCAGAATGAGGTAATAAAAATTATAGTCTTTCCAGTATGTTCAAGAATCAACATCATGTTGCCAGACTCCAATAAAACAATGCTGAGGTTGAATTTTTTTTATTTTTCCAATTTGTTTACATTACACCAACAATAAATTGCACGTGACACCGACGAGGCTATGATATTTATCAGAAGCATAACTTTTTCCTAAACATACAAGAGTAGGATATCAACCTCGAAAACTTTACATCAATTTCAAATTTGATAAGAACAAATTTAAATTAAAAATTACAAATACAAAGGACAGGGTCAAGTAAGGGAGATGGGCTTTGCAGAAAGGATTTGAAGATCCATAGGCCTCTGGGGTTTTTTTTTTTTTTAAAAAAAAAAAAATTTACCAGAAAACACGCATGAAGAGTTATAACTCAAGAGAGGATAAGGACAACTATGCCTTTGCCTCATATTCGAGAATGAAAGATATAATCTTTTAAACTTAACAAGAAACAAAAATCATTAATTCTAAAGAGAAAAAGAAAACATTAGCATAGTGGACGAGCACTTCTTTTATAGCCTAATAGCCCGTCAAAATAAAACGAGGAAAATATAGATCAGCAGAATGAATCAGCACTTCTCTAGTGAGTGGGGGAGCGGGATGTCTGTTCCAGCTTTTTCTACAAAGCAGTGAGCGAGGGAGGAGGGAGTTTCTTAAGCAGATAGAGAGAGACGCTACGGAGGTGTTCCATGATGTAGATGCTATAATCAGAGAGACAACACAGTTCTAGAAGACATTAATCACAACAGAGTGGGTTCTAATTTCAGGGGTTAGAGTGAGACCCATTCCATCTCAAGTAAGTGTTTCGCTGGAAAGACTTTTTGAGGAGGGCAGTGTTTGCTATGAAGGGGAATAAGTCTCCGGCACAGATGGGTTTACAATGGCATTGTTCCACAATTTTTGGGGTATAATCAAAGATGATTTGCTTGGCTTTTCTTCTTTTTTTTTTCCTTTTTTTTTTTTTTTTTTTTTTTTTTTTTTTGTGGAGCTTCACACTTTCACTGTTGGAGTTATCAAGAAAATCATTTACAATATTAATATCTTGATTCCCAATGTTTACCACCGATCAATAAGTTGTTTTCCCACACTGCTTTAACAAGCAAGGAACACAGCACATGACAGCCAATCTTAAACATTGAAACCAAGCTAAATTTCAACTTATACAGAAAAAAGTAAAAACAACCTATAGGAACTCAAAAACTTTATAACATTTGTCAGCCAACATGTCTGTACATCCTGTATTTGACAGCCAACATGTCTGTACATCCTGTGCATCTATCTGTCTATGTATGCCTGCCTATGCATTTGAGTGAAAAAAGCCACAGGTAAAAGTATTTCAATTCACATTCTATGGCACTTTCACTTTTGGCTATAAAACTCTCTACATGTGAAAGTATTGTAAGGACTATAAGTATAAGGATGTATACCTTAGACTTCCCAGCCCTTGCAGCATCAACTAAAGATGGAACTAGTAGCTTGTCACCAGGGCCAAAGATACCGCTTGGACGCAATGAGCAAGTAAGAAGCCCCTTTTCACCATTTGCCTTCAAGACCAATGCCTCTCCTTCAGCTTTGGTGGCTGAATAAGAATCATTATGCTAAAAGAACAAAAGATAAGAGCTAAATTATAAAAGAAAAAAATAATAATTAAAAGTCAGCAACTCGCATGCAAACTAGGATAAAGTAGCCATAGAAATGGATGAAGTAAAGTAAAAAGGATTACAGCAGCACATGAATTTATTCAACAAACTAAACAATGCTCTGCCTTGTATATTGATCTCATTTTCTGCATTATTATCAATTCTGAAACATTAATAAAACTAAGCTTAGCAGGGGAAGTGCTTGCATCAAAGTTGCTGTAAGTGACTAATTAAGATTCAAGCTAGTCATGCAGTATGACTAGCATATTTCAACAACAGAGGTAACAGTATTGTTTAATACCCATCAATGCTATCATCACATTGGAAACTTAATAAAATAAGTTAGCGTGGAAGCTCTTGCTTCAAAATTGTTGTGATCTAACCAAGATTTGAGATGGTAGTCAGCACGATATGACTAGCATACTTCAACAACAGAGCTAATAATAGTATAGCATGTTACAAAATGCTTTAAAAAAGAGGAAGAGATAGAACAAGTGACCTCATTCTATCTCAAAAAAGGATACCATGTTTTCTTTTCCCCTCATAATCTCATGTTAACAATGGACAAATCTGGCTACCAAGTTTCATGTATCTATTAATACTCCCTCCGTTCCTAATAATTGTCATGGTCAAACTTAGCACACATGACAATGCACTGGTTTAACTTTAGATATATATGATTAAATTATTTGTAAAAAAATATAAATAATTTGATATTATGAAACTTTATATTAATACCTATATAACAATATATTTCATGATTAAAAAAAATATTATATGTTACTAAAAAACGATGGTCAAAGTTAGAAAATGCGTAGTGAAAAAAGTCAAACGTGTCAATTATTTAGGAACAGAGGGAGTATATTGTTAAAAGCGCCTTTTCCTACCCCTTACTCCCTCTCCACACCTCACAATAAAAAACAGTATTGAGTTAAGTGAGGATGCAATAACATTGGGTGGTAAGAAGTTTTCCATGAACGATTTTTTCGTGTACTTGGGATAATTGTACAGAGGAATGGAGATATTAAACAAAATGTAACTCATATGATTAGGTCTGAGTGGCTCAAATGGAGAGAACAAATGGAATATTGTCACTATTGTGTGACTTTAGTATACCTTTAAGATTAAGGGAGAATTCTATAGGGTGGATATAAGACCAGCAATGTTATATTGGATGGGAATGTCAAGCATCATAGGAAGGATCATATTAGGAAACAAGAGTAGCAAAGATCTGTTACATGTGTATGTTGTGATGGATGCGTGTGAACACCTTATTATGAATAAAAGTTGGAAAGAAGATGCTTGGACGAAAGTTGGAGAATGAATAAAAGAGAATTAATTGTTGGAGCCGATGACATTGAGATAATAAAGGGACAATTTATTGTGTTGGTTTAGGTATGTACGAGAAAGACTAGTAGATGCACAAGTAAAGAAAGTAGAGAGCTCTATTCAAAAAAGAAAAAAATAAAATAAAATAAAATAAAATAAATAAAAAGAAAGTAGAGAACTAGTAGTGTGGAGATCTTAGAAGAAGTAGAGAGAGACCAAAGACTTAGATGGAAGGAGCTGAGAATATATGAAGAAATTGGTTTTACGAGAGCATAAAGCCTTGGAAAAAAAGATTAAAGGGCATTAAGGGAAATGATCTTAACAACTACAAAAGATAAATTCTTGATTCACGTTGTCAAGTAGCCAACCCCATCCTATTATTGGGATTAGCTCTGATATTATTGTTGTTGTTGTAGTAGTATTATATGAACTTAGATAGTTTAACAACGATAAAAAAAAAAAATAAAAAAAAAAAAAAAAAAAAAAAAAAATTACCTTACTATCTTCCCCTAAAGACACTTATGTTTTGCAGATGACAAACTTCTTAACTCTGGGGGGCCTCATAATGGTTGCAAGATTGGATACAAACTAAACTTTCAAATGACGATGCCAAATAAAAATTTATTCCATATACACTATCCACTATATAGGCAAAAAATTCAACAATTCTATCACGAAATAATTTTCCAATAACACCATCCGCGTTAAAATATGCCAGGAAATAAAAGGAAATTGAAGTCCTTCAATAAAGCATGTGATTACTAAATAGGATAAGAGATATTAATTCCGTCATTATAGGTAGTAGTAGTGCTAGAAGACAACTAAGATCCAGGATAGTAGAGTTTGGATAAAAAGAAAACACCAAGGCCCAAAAGGCATCATAGTGGGCAGCTATATGGACGATTTTAGGTCAATTAGATTTACTACTAAATGCTTAATTATACTATATAATTAACCTAAATATATCCGATCCCCCTTCTCAAACAAAGTTAAGAGAGTGACTTAAACCTCCTTTCGTTCTAGCAAACATTGAATCTAATATCATATTCATGGACAAAATAGAGGAGCAATGAATGAAGCTCTTGATCTCTAAAGGAGAATAATGTAAACCTAATGGAAAGCACAGATAAAGGGTTTTTATTTTATACTTATTATGTGATTTGTATATTTAATATGTTTGGGATCTTGTTTAGATGCCAGGAAAACTGTACATAAACAATGTAAAATCAATATACAAATAAAAGTGTCAATTTGCTCCAAATTTCTCAAAGTAATCTCCCAATAACTACTATCTACCCCCATTAAGTTCCCCAATAACTATTAAAGATTACCTATTTTGGCAAAGGATATATCCCATGAATAGCACTAATACATTCTAGTAGAAAGAAAACATTTTTAATAAATGACAAACTAGAATTTGCAATTCATAGAAAGTATAAACGGAGAGTAGAACAATGAGATTGATACCTTGACTGGGTAGGATAAAGACTCGTCTGCATTAATAACCCCGCGCACCCCATCAAAGACAACACTGGCAGAGCTAGTATAAATCAATCTCTTTACTTGCATCTCAACACATGCGTCAATCACATTTCTTGTTCCTGCCATAGGATAATGGTAAGCATAGTACTAATTCTACTTGGCATTAGCGATACTCTGACAAGTATGCAGCTGTGACATCCAATGTGACTACATGTATATGTAATTAATAAAGTTCACCTTCAACATTGACAGAGTGATGGAGGTTGTAATTATTAATAGAAGAATCCGGAGCCGCCATATGAAAGACAACATCAGCTCCATGACAGACTGCAATACAATAAACAATATCTTAACATTAGCTATCCTCCAGATCCTGAAAATTCACTTTAAAGCAGAATCGAGCAACCTAATGAAAGTGATGTGAAAGTAAATAAATAAAAAGAAAAAGGCAAGCAAAGCTACCCTTAAGCACTTGACCCTTATCTCTGAGATCAGCAGATACATACTGAGCACGGCCAGACGACAAAGCCTTGCCAAGTGTTCCCTCCTCCTCATAAGCATCAAGCTTAATAGAGGGACCCAAATCGGCTATTCGAACACAGAACATTTCGTACCGAATCAGCATTTCGACTAAATGCCGGGCTGCAAACCCTCTTCCTCCGGTAACCACACACCATCTCTCTTGACTTGTCATCAGTGAAATTCAACTACAACTACACACCCCCAATTGCATCAATATTACGCGAACAACTCAATAATTTTACAATGTTGAAATACAAATTAGGTGAAAAAAACAACAATTAAATCGCCCATTATAATCTTATAGTAATTATAACCAAAAGTTCAATGATCCAACATAGAAGACCCTAAACTGAGAATTAAATTAACGATTAACATTAGATTGTGAAATTGTATTCGATGATTGAAAACAAAGATCATACCTCAGAAGCTGCTTCAATGGAGGAGAGAGGAGAGAGGAGAGAGGAGAGAGGAGAATTGAGATTGAGGGATACGACGCAGTGAAAAAGCTCCAAAGCAATATGGCCTGTTTTGGCATGAGGAAATACTTGTTGCTCTCCGTGATTAAACTTCACAAAAAAAAAAATCACAGGGCATTTTCGTCATTTCGAAGTTAAAAATAGGGGTGTAGTTGGAAATTCACTGGGGAATGGTTACGGCATACTTGTAAACGGCAGTTTACTCTCACAAACGGAAGTTTGGCAAAATGAGGTGAGCAAATTCTTAAATCACGAGTAGATGAGGGAGGATCTATCTTCGAGCAGATAAGACCTTGTTTGGCAAGTGGCTATAACCTGTTGACTGCTTGCTGTTTAACTTGGTTGTTGGTTGCTGGTTGTTTAACTTGGTCGTTTGTAGTGATTGTTTGACCATTTGTTGTATGTAAATATGTTTGGTAAAATTAGATGTTAGCTATTGATTGTAAGTATGTAAAATGACTTTAAAGGACATTATTATTGTGTTCTTATTCATTTATTATCAATATTATTAATTACTAATTATTAGTTACCAATTTTTAATTATTAATTACGAATACAAAATACTAACTAAATACTAGTATTAATTGATTAATACTAGAATTTATTTTTTTTAAAATAAACTTGAACTTAATATGTACGTTGATATCAAAGGTTTTTTTATTGTAAATTTTAACTAGATTTAAGCCCGTGCGATTGCATGATTTTTTAGAAATAAATTTCACAAAAAGATAACCTTTGTATAAAATTTGATTAATTTGTTATTGCTTGTTAAAGATAATTTTTATTAATTTTATGTAATTATAATGCGACCTTATTAGTTGATGTTAGTTATGTGGAAATTGAGCTTAAAATTAATAACTAAATTATAAAATATGGTATCCTATTCGTTAGATATTAGAATTAAATATTTAATATTAATTTCAAAGACACGGAGTATTTATTAAAAATAATTTAAATCCTAAATGACTCTTAGTAGTTTTTTTTTTTTAACCTATGTGACACATAAAATTAAACTCTCAAATCTCATTCGTCAATTTTGCTTATGTGACGATTAATTTTTTCAGTTCTAAAATAGAATATAATTTATTTTCATTGGTCATAATAATGTCTTTGTATATGTTATATTATCCGGATATTAGGATAGAAAAATTTTAATGTGAAAAGATATTTTTTTGTTTTTAAATAATTTAAATAATCCTAAATCAATATTCGTATTTTTTTTACACATAATATTATACGCTCAAATTTTATTCGTTGGTTAGTGTTATAGCCATATGGTGTGGCCAACCACACAAAACACGCTAAATAATTAATGTTAAAAGATTTTTTTTTAAATTAAGTTAAATCGTAAATCATAGTTTTTTACATGACACTTGAAAATACACCATCAAATTTCATTTGTTCAAATTTTTTATCTGACGATTCATTTTGTTAATAATAAAAAAAATTTCATTGATCAAAATATTGTCTTTGAATATGTTATCTCATCTGATGGATATTAGGATAAAGATTCTAATGTGAAAAGATGACTTTTTTTAAGAAAATAATTTTAATGCTAAATCACTATTTGCAGCTTTTTTTTTAACCTACGTGGCATGTAAAATTAAATATCTCAAATCTCATTCATTAATTTTACGTACGTGGCGATTGATTTTTTTAATCCTAAAATAATATACAAATCTCTTTTTTTATTGGCTAAAATAAGTCTCTTGCTTATATGGCGCGCCGAATGCTCCCAAAAAATGTCTTCTTTATTTATATACTAGTACGTGCCCCAGGCGTTGCCTCGGGTTCCTATTTAGAGAGTTTACTTATTTGTGGGCTTGTTTTGTATTATTATTTTTTTTTTGAAAGAATGTTTTAATTATTATTATTATTATTATTATTATTATTATTATTATTATTATTATTATTATTATTATTATTATTATTATTATTATTATTATTATTTAAGTATAAGATGTAGAAAGAGAGTAGGAATACTACCTATTTGTTGTGAAATAAGGAGAAACATGAGAGATTGAGAGAGAATTAATCTGTGTGTATTTATTCCATATGATAGGGGTATATATACATACAACATAATTAGGGTTTGCTTGGATAAAAATAAACTCTATATCTAGAATATTCCGGAATGATAAAAGGAGTATAATGGGCATCCACAAAATATTTCATAACACTCCCCCTTTGATGTCCATTATTGAAGATCGTGCCTCGTTAAAACCTTAATAGGATAAACCCTGTAGGATAAAAACCTAATTAAGAAAAAAGAGTAAAATATTCTTCATAATACGCTCAAGATGCTGCCTCATTAAAAACCTTACCAGGAAAACCCAATGTGGGACAAAACCATGGTCAAGGGAAAAATATTGCAGCGCGTATTCTCCCCCTGATAAATACATAACGTGAAATCTTCTAGTGCAATAAATCCAACGAGATATGGTTGGGTAACTTCTATTGTGTAGCAGAACACCATTTGTTGATAATTGATCCTTTCAAATTGAACTTAAATCTTCAAATCTTCACGTGAACAAGTGAGGCGTCTTCAATTTCACTATATTTATGATAATAATACATGTGTTTGTCCACAATCCACATCTCATTCGAAATCTCTGTTTAAAGTTGCCTTAATCGTTATACTTATGCCTTTTTCTGGAGGCCGATCGACATATTTAGTAGATATTGATAATTAATAAGAGATCATATTTTATGGCAACACGTGATATAATCGTCCAATTTTACACGATTTAGTGAAGATAACAACTCGTATACATCACTCATGATTCTTCTGGACCATAAGAAAAGTATTCTAGCCGAAAAATATCTCAATGTTATTCTTTGGAAATTTCATATTTAATATGAGAGTTTCCAATAAGTACAAAGACTGATTGACTCTCACATACTCAAACTTCAGGTTGAGACATCAATGATGTAGTCATATTGACTTTTTCGGAGTTTGATAATAATTGCAATATTCAAAATATAAAATTTTTAGGGCTGGGTATTTAAATATATACATCGTACATAAGTTCTTCAGGAACTTTTCTTACATGATTTCATAACATGCTATTAAATCGACGTCATCAATAATTTCAGCACAACTGTAAGCCCATTGGAATATAAATATTTCTTTGTAATTCCCATCAATCTTGTAAATACGCCTTACTACACATTGGACGAACATTCACACATACCACAATTATTATACAGAAACTAGTGCATGCAATATGAGATATAAAAATCATGATAGGATATTGAACTACATATACAATATGTAATGCATCTAACAACTTCCTACACATGTAATAAGTAATCCATTAACCTATGACTCACGCATGCACATGGACATAAGACTCAAAATTATGCAAGACAATGTACAGTGTGGATTTAAAAATCTATATTTCATTGGACTTCTAGTCCATGATAAACTTTTGATCATTATCATTATGTCGACATCAAAATGGACATATATTTCAGATCCCTTATTCACTAGTCCATTCTATCATGCATATGCATATTATTCGTTGGTTCCATAGGATATCGATATGATAACATTCTGGAAATATAATTTCGCATGCTATTTTACAATGATATTTGAATATATCTCCAATCGGTACCATTATAAATTTTTTTTCTTTTTTTTTCATATCATATGCCATTTATTATAGATCAAATATCTATACCACCTATATGGGGTATTTCTCACTCTATGGTATTAATATACTATTATTATACTTTAAAAGCATCAACTGCAGTATCTTGCCATATATCACATATTTATATTGGAATCGATCATACAATCTACACTTTGGGTGTAGTGATTCAAAGAAAAATTAGCAAGATCTATCTTAATTAATGCAAATAATATCATTATCACTATGACCAAAATGTATTTCTCCATGCCTCTGGATGGGTTATAACAGTATACAAATCAAATCATAGATGTGCAACATATCTTGATACAAAAGTTGGCATGTAACTTTACAAAGTATCATTAGAGGGATCAACTATTTATAATTTTATAATTTTGCCAACTTACTTCAATTCTTCTCCCCCTAAATATTGGGGCAATTCTTCACCAACTTAGAATATAATTTCATGTGCAACAAATTTCATCTCTCAGGATAATCATATTTAACAAATTTCTATCTCTTATGGAGAATAATGAAATTTTGTTCTCTTCTAGAGATCAATATTAATAGGTAGTCATGAATTATATATTTGTCTATTTACTTATTCTATTTCTTATGTGCTGACATAAAATAGCCCCAATCAAGAGATTAATTTACTATTAAAATCACTTGTATGTAAAGCCACTATATGGTGATTTTTTAATCCTCCAAATACTTTAATATTGAATTTCTAGTTACTCAAAATTTCTACACATACCAGTTGTTTTAGTGAGCTCCTGACTACTTATTACTTGTTCACATGCAAAATTGTTCAAAACTAGCATATAATCTCTTGAAATTTCTTCAAAACAAAATATTAAATCACAATTTAAATATAGCTCAATTTCAACGTTATGTCCTTGCAATTTAATTCATTTCATATATCTAATATGAGAGAGCATCAACACAATTTCTTTCACATCAAGTGAAAGTTCAAGTTTTCATGACGGGTAATTATTAAACTCGGATGGCCTAATTTAATTATCACATCTAGTCACTTCTTTAAATTTGAACTTTGGTCGGTTTTCCAACACTAGTGGTCACTTTATTTAACTTACTTTATGCATGACCATGAATATGATGTGATATTAGAACACCAACATGTGTTTCTTTATACAATTGGAAAAACAATCAACTAGTATTTTATCCAATAATAACTCATACTCTACTGGAGTTTTGACTCTAATCTTGATACATGTATCTTATTGTACATTTCACACTCTTCTGGAGTCTTTTATATAATCATGGAACATATGAATTTTAATAAAAGTGATTTCTTCTAGAAATGTAATGGGATTTATCACTTCCTCAAATTTGTCATTGTCAATAGTCGTGGCTCCTTTCCTTTTTGAAGATACTTAATTATCTTTAAAACCTATTGATTTATCACGCTTCAGGCGTGCTAT